TAATATGATATACAAGTAAAAGAGAAGAGAGGCGAGACCTGAGTTCATAAGAACTTACCAAAACCTTGTTTCTTCTTAAGATCGTGCATGAGATGGCACTTCAATAAAGCTTCGCAAGGGGGAGCTGAAGGCCGCAAATGCTTGGAGAAGGGGTTGCCCCCTCACAATTTATAGAGAAAGAGAGGAATCTCCACCTCCAAAATAATATGAAACTAAACCTTGCTCTACTAACATGGTATCTCATCAAGCCATTGATAAGAGCTATCGATTCACTATTGTGTTTGTGGCAAACTTATAAGGGTTGATAGAGGTACACTAAGTTGGGGATATTTCCTTCAAAGAGTTTCATCTATTTATAGTACGTCAAAACTTTCACAATATCCCATTAAATAAGAAGAAATCTGTTAAGGCTGATGAACAATTAACATACCTAATGGATGGGATATGTTGAGCTCACTTCCATTGCACTCAAGCTCAATCTTAACACATACAATTGTTGGCTTGTAGTCTTCCTAGTTTGATTGCCACAATACCACATATAACCAATAATTCAAATTTGGACATCGCAATTCTAGGACCATATCCCAGTCATACAAATACACGCATACATAGCTTATCCATAGAGCTTAGCACACAATGGATTCAGTGCATGAGTCGCCCTATTTTGGCATGAACAATTCTAGCATGCACTGAGCTGATCAATTGGTAAATATTTGTCGGATTAGCATGATCATCATTTGATTGCTCATATTTTGCCAGTCACAAGTTTCATCACTCAATTCAATCAATCAAAATAGGCTCAATGGAATCTAATTTGGTTCAATTTTTGATGTGATAAACAATTAAAAAAAAAACATTGAAAAGGTGTTCAAAATATAATTTAAATAAATTTAATAAAAATGGGTTAGAATGCACTGAGATGAGAGATAGCAAGTTTCAATCTTATCAAAATTTAAAAATGACTCAAATATATTATGCAATCATTTGAATTCAGATATACTCCACAAACATCACAACCCAAGACTAGTTGAGAAACCCTTATCTCAATTATTGTGGAGGTATATCTTCTAGCATAAATAAAAAGTAGCCATTCTTTTATTCATTTCTCACTGCCTACTTCACATCTACTCATTAGCCAACATCAACTCGCAAGCAAAGCCCCAACACCCTTTGCCGGTCGATAATTTGCCTAGCAGCCATTGTAGCTCTGCTCCTCTATGATAAATCACACTCAGCCCATACAAGAGCACTTCACAAACCTCATATAATATACAAAATTGTAATTATACCTAACGATAACATCTCAAGTCAACTACAACAAGTAAAACATTGATTCCTTACAACCACAACCCGCAATCTATCATAACTGAGCCCTATCTACATCAATCAGTCGCATGTCATGCCTTGCCTCAAGCCCATATGTCGACACATATAACACAATTTCTCATTACCCAGACCTAACAAAAACTATAAAGCTAACACACGTTTCCTAAACTCAATTATTCAAATCCAAACATCAATTGTTTAACACACGTTGCCTATCGTGCCAGCAATACATTATAGCATACATATCTGGAATTTCATATAACCAACAAACCAGAAAGCTCTACAATGAAATATAAATCATCAATCGCTAAGAACAAAACCCATTCATTATCAAACTCATATTTTGAAGCTCACATTCATTACTTTAAGCGTGTACAAATAGTAGCTCTCAATAAGCATAATTCATTCGATATCAATCTCTAGTAGGCGGGCATCATGTATAAGACTCAGATATTTTGAATGATTAAAATAATAAATAAGGAATTAGAATTAGTAAAGAAGATACAAGAGAAAAACTTTATATTACGAAATTATAAAGTGAATGTTTTCAATGATTAATTATTATAACATAATTTCAAAGTTTTCTTATTAAATATTTACTAATTAGAAATGATTTTAAAATATTATTAAAACAAAAGTTTTATATTTATATTAAACCGCTTAATTTTTTAAATATAATTTTGATCTATTGAAATGATTATACTTAATTTAAAAATTATATCTATTAAATATTTAATATTAAAAACTATTTTAGTATTAAATAATTAATATGGTATTTTTTTAGTTTAAATATAATAACCATGATCATTGTTTGCATATACATTCACGCATTTAATTTATATTTGATAGTTAATAACTAGAAACTTGTCCCCTTTTAATATTAAGATGCATTTGAACATTTATATGATATTCCTATATTGAAATCTAACTTTAAAATTGAAGAATGAATATCAATACATGTTGTGCCCATTAGTTTTCATACATGTAGTAAATTATAGTACAAAACATTACATTTGCAATTTTTTTCTTGTTCGTTTTGCATTTCATGGTGTCATGTCATTGCATTCACATAATTTTCATGCAATTACGAAAATGTAAACTCTGTTTTACCTATATCATATCCTTACATTTGCATATTTTTAATCACATATTGAATCAATTGTATTTGTGGCTTATTCACATAATAGATGATCTCTGTATCATGCATCTACACACAAAGAGCTATTATATTATTATTTTGTATTGCTAACATCCCTTTTGCATAGAATCCTAGGGTAGAAAACATAAAGAAAATAAATGATTCACACATTGCTTACAATATTTTCACTACTTCACATTTCCTAGGTTTCTTATATTGGGAAGTAGAACCTAGGCTACAAATCACTCACTTATAGAGTAAGCTCAATTAAAATGAAACACAACTAGTTTATGTATGAGCTCATTAAGTATAAATAAATAATATGTCAGCTTGTAGCCTTGGTGATGCTTATAAACTTAAGAGTCTGCACATAATCTCAGACCCACTTTATCATAAATAACCTAGCCATAAACTTCAAATACAAGCCAATTCTCCAGTTAGTTATTTGAGTTCATCCCCCCCCCAACAAATTATGATCGACTCTTTTCACTTTTATATATGCCTAGATGGCAAAATGGCATGCTTAAGTCAGAAAATGATTTGAGTCCAAGTAGTATCTTTTCTACCACAATAAGAGGATAATTAAGCTTTCATGGTCAAACATGAGTAAGTTGAAAATTCCATTTTTGACAATTTTTTTGTCACATGAAAGCGATAATCAGGCTGCGATCAAACTATAGGCCACAAAATTCCACTCTTTTGATGTCTTATCTACCACATTGAAAAAATATTTGAGCCCTTCAATCCCTCAAGCTTGTGTCATAAGTCTCATCCTTGTTTATCTCCTTTACCACAGATAAGAGATTACCAGACATCTCGATCAAATGTGATCAAGCTGTATCTCCATCTTTCTTATCTATTAAGCTACAATAGACCTCTACTGCAGCACGGCAAACATTTTTTAAATGCCCACGGGATTCTATAATTATTAGCCGCAACCTGCTAATCCTATGGACAATTAATTAAATTTGTCAAATCTGGATTTTTTATTAACCATCATTTAGCATATTTTCGCAATTTTCGGCACATACTGATTTGTCTGGCGCTTGAACAGGGTTGACTTTAAGTCAATCGATGCTTTGTCAGGTGAATTTGTTGATCCTTTATATTCAGAATTGTAAGAAAAATGAATTGGGACAATTTCTAAGACCTCCTCTAACAACCCTCTCTCCTAAGGGCGTCTATGTGGACCCCCATTTGATACATTAACCTAAGGTAAAAACAACTTTGACTCGTTCACCCCTACCTTGGAGACCTTTTAGAGGTCAACATGAATGTGTATCTAGATAGCTTTGTAATCATAAGTGGACATATACGCATGCGATCATGCAAGAAATAAGCATAAATGCTTATAATATGTTAAAAAATTAAGCAAGCTACCTTGGAGGCTTTTTAGAGGTCAACATGTGTGTGCATCTAGATAGCTTTGTAAGCATAAGTGGACATATGCACATGCAGTCATACAAGAAATAAGCATAAATGCTTATATATGTTAAAAAATTAAGCATGTTAGGGATAAAAACTCAGCTCAAAAGTTAGAAGGGAAGCATGCAATACATTCATCGATGAGCTATAAGGATAATTAATGATGAATTGGAGAATTCATTTTCATAATCCAGCAGCATTCTATAGTCCAGCTAGAGATTTCATGAGGCAATGGATAAGATATGAAAACGGAAGGGGTAGACAGGAGAAAAGTATCAGATATTCTGTGGCATGGATTTTGTGTGCATGCTTGTGATGAAGGGAATGTGAGAGAAATTAGTTTGATAGTTACGTTAAAATCATCACAGAGATGAGACAAATATATCACAATAATTCAGTTTAGTTCTAGGCAAACCAAACGATAGAATTGAGGAATAAGCTCATTCATTAGGCACTTCAGCTACCAACAATTTCCTGATAAGACAACTCCCAAACTATAAGCACCCGCTCATTAGTATGTTCATCTCCAACTTCAATTTGGAATCAGCACTAGAAATAGTAGAATGGATTGATGCAAAATTTCATGAGAAAAGTAAAAATGGATCGCAAAGCAGTAACTATCTCTGCTCAACAAAAGCTGCATAAATCATAGCTGATCATGAAAAAGCACAAATTCACATCAATACGTGCATCCCAAATATTAGAGAAACCTCATTGCGACAAAAAAAATTAAATGAAAACAAAACCATCATATCAATTATGGGCGTCTTTCAAAATAAAATAAAATGCAGGATAGGCCGAAAATCAGCTATCAAGCAGGCAACAGTTTCTATAATTAAATCACCAACATGTGCTCAAGGGGAAAACTATAAAGAAGCAAAAAGTATAATTCTGCAGCATGACAATGCCATAATGAGCATCAATAATAAATGAAAAGATATGTTAAAAAAGTAAAAAATAAAAAAAAAGGCAAGGCGAAAGTGAATTTAAGAAACATTTAAAAAATAGGTACCAGTTATGATCATGAGTTACATGACTATCAACATATTTAAAAAATAGGTTCTTTTGATACCAGTTATGATCATGAGTTACATGACTATCAACATCATACCTACTATTACCAAACTTAATAGTATCTTTTTCAAAAAGTTCATAATATCGTTGTGGTTCAATGCGATTCTCCTGCAAAATAGAAAATCAAATCAATGGTAGGAATTATAAACAAAACTCAGCTCAAAATATAAAAGATTTTTAATTGACAAAACAAACAAAAAATAAATGAGATTGGATGTAGATTCCTACATTAATGAATGTACCGTTAGTGCTTCCAAGATCCATGAGGTAAGGCCTAACATAATAAACGATGGAAATAAAATTAGAGATACAATAAGAAACGTGACAGCATCAAAGCAATAAGAAGAGAATAGCACAACTATAAAAGCCAAAAACACATCTGATGCATTACCTTATTTGCTTTGAGAAAAACTCACCTGCTGTCTCTTTGTCTACACTTCTAGAGAGAGAAAGCATTTATATTAATAAAAGTTTTAAATTATCAATTAATAAGGATTAAAGTAACACACCTGTATTGAAGAACAGCATGCTGTTTGCTACAAGAAGGATGATCTGTAGCGATGTCTGCAACCCTCCTTTCTCGCCCAAATAGGTAACAACTTTGACGATGCACATATAAAGGCTCTATCAAAATACAAACATTTGAGGGCATAATTCCATTGTGAGAACTTAAGCTTTAAGAGTTCCAAATTTAGATGTACCAATGGCACTACAATTCAACTTTCATGTCAAAGGAAGTACTTTCAATGATGGTCTTTATTGCATAAGCAGAAGTTTTATTATAGAGTCAATGCAATTGCTAGGACAACCAGGAAATAGCATACAAAAAAAATATCAATGTTGAAGGGCACCACTGAATTCATAATGGTTTCCACAAAACAAACTATAATAACAGGGAGGTGGAGGAGATTCCTGGCAATGAAAACAGGAATAGTTGATAGGTGGCATTCGGTAACAAAACTTCCCTTCTTTTCTCATCTTCATTTTTATGGCTCTTTCGAAGATGGACACCGCATTTCATCCTTTAAAATATTAAAATATACCTTAATTTTTATATTTTCCCTACAATCCCAAAAAGCTAAGTACAGAAACCATATAAGTAACTTTTCAATATATTCACATACTTCAAATATTTTCACGTTCATATATCATGATTATTGTGATAATAAAAATTAAATTGCATTTTGATTCATGATATAACACTTCATACAGCCGGAAAAGAAAATCCAACGGGTTTGTATAGGTTTCCAAAACCAAACAAATAAGTGGAATATGAAAGCCTCTCAATTACCTACAAAAGTAACATGCAACTGATAATCATGCAACTGCAGGCAAAACCTAAAAAGATAAAAACAAGATTCACAGCAGTAAAGTTGCATAAAATGCAAAAGATATATAAATAGCAAAATGTAATATAAGGAATCGTAACTCACATAATAGCCAACAACTTGACTTTGTAGTAAATTTACTTTGCTTCTTAGAATTAGCAAATACTAGACATTCACATTTCAGTTTCCTAGACCGCTATAATTAACACTCTTATTAGCAATTCAAAAAGATTACCATTAAGAACTTCACCAGCCTTGAAAACATATAATCGCCATCTTATATCAGGCTTGCAAGCATCAGGTGGTTCATTGAACAGTAGAGTTATCCCTGACAATACACAATACGGTTTAAAACAGCAACAGTAATCAGTCTAGCAACATATAAATGCATAAAGCATATATGGATGAACAATACATTAATGATGCAAAACTTCCATCTAACAGTTACCTTAAAACTTACTGCAAACTTGACAATTTGAAATAAAAGGATATTACTAGCATTTCAAAAATAGCATCAGTGCAGTAACCACCTCTAAAAATAGAGATCAAAATAGGAATCTAATATTTATGAGTAACAACCAATATAGATTCTGATGGAATGCTAAGAGATGGACCATGTTGTGAACATTTTAGAAAGCAATACAATGGATTAACCACAACTGTTACCTCGTACTCTATTAGTTTCCTCAGCAAGCTTCCCAGAAAGCTCAAAAGATGGTTTTTGCTGCACCAAAGAAAGCATATAGCTGAGAGAGTCAAAAATTAAAAATAATTTATACTAAAATTCACAAGCAGTGACTTCTGTAAGTCCCCACCAACAATTACAGCCCATTAAAGCGCATGCTGAGTAACTTTCCAGTCCTCTTTCAAGAAATAATACATCAACAATCCAAATTGGGTTTTTTTGGTAACGTTGTGCTGCGTTTGTGATGGAGAAATGTGCACAAATGGTCCCCTAACTATTTGAAGTGTGCCATTTAGTCTCCGACTTCATATAAGCGTCAAATTAGTTCCATATTATTTTATAGGGGTGAAAAGAGTTCCACCGTTAAAATTTAAGGAAATTAGTGTTTAGGATATTAAAAATGGGGGTATTTTTGGAATTCATACAATTCTATTAAATTATAAATTATATATATATTATATATATATATTAGAAAAAGCCCAAGGGCTGATATATTAAAGAGTAAAAGATACATATAGGTTGTATGAGAGGGCCTAAAAGAAGGCCCAACTCACACAATACAACACACACAAAATCCCAAATAAAAAAAAATACATAAAGATAAAAAACCAAAAAGCCACCACCAGGAGTAAAGGTGCTAGAGATGTCTCACTTTAGTCCTCCATTTGTCTATAGTTCTCGGAAGGGAGCCGGCTAACAAATTGGTAAGGTGCGTACCATTACCCGAAGTAACCAAAGTATTCAAATTATTATCCATCAGATAAATTATTATCCATCAGATTCCTAAGCTCAAGTAGGTCTCCATTCTTCTTCTTCCTCCTAGATGTGTAGACCTGTCATTTCTCATCCGATAATTGACTCATGTGATCGATGGATTGTTCCAAAAGTGGTTAGACAAGTGCAGACTGTTACACATCATGATCCTCATGAGCCTGAGTGACATTAACATCTTGCTCGATCTGATGAGGTGGTAGTGAAGCAGTAGAAGTATTGCTACCTGTAATATCAATGATAGGTTTTAGGGCAGTTGGGGTTAGAAGAATCTCCCTTGCCATCACGATAGAAGGTTCCAAAGACGGGGGAGCTACAATATTGTGTGGAGACTGCATTGTTGACATATTGCTTGCAAATGGTCTGAAGTGGGGGTATAGATGATGGCATTGAGAACTGGAGTGACCAAACATACGACAGTTCGAACAATATGAAGAAAAATACTAAATCACTACCTTTTGCCAATATCCATGGTATTGTGTGCCCAACCAAATCTCCTCAGAAGCTCCGACCAAATTTCCTCAGAAGCGGATGAAGTGATTTCTTTTTCAACAAGTACTCTGGCTTCAGATGGACGAGAAATATTCAAAGTAGGAATGTCCGATTTAAGTGACTTACCATAAGCTGAGGCAATAAAGTACAACACTTTTTAAGTAAAATAATAAGTAAAACAATAAAATTTCAGGCCAGGGAGGCAAATCCAAACCGGAATGATTAGTGGTTTCGTCTGTGGGTCAAAATCCACAGACCATTTCAGAATCTTCATTGCCCTATTATCAATTCAAATTATTCTTCTAGCAAATAAGAGCGTGTAATTATCTTCATTATTAAGTTAAATAAGAATATGTCTTCCATCTAAAAGTTCAATTTTTCACTCCTCAACAAGGTGCATAAGCTCAAATTCCTTACGAATCAGCTCAATTTCCTTACGAAATTCCTTACGAATCAGTTCAATTTTGGGATGGCTAAACAAAAATTTCCCGACCAAATTCTTACGAATTAGCCTATTATGGTGCTTGCACTATCTCCCTAAAATACTTCGTCGGGAAGCTTCGACGCTCCTTGGACACTCATGTTGGCCTCATTGCTCAAAGTTGCTCAGCTCACCATGCCTTCCCCAACCGCGCTCATCATGCTATTCTCTCCCTCTCTAGATTGCCTCTTCGAGCAGGCCTCGCCATCCCGCTTTGATAACTATCGCTCTGAAATGCTATGTTGAGAAGCAGACTCAACTTACCTTCCCCACACCCCTTCTCGATCATGCGAAGGCTAGGTAAATAAAAAAAAGATTAAACTCCAAATTGCCCTTCAGAATTATAGGTACTTTGTTAATTTTTACCTAATTTCAACTCATTTTAATGATGGGATTATTTCAGCTCCTATTAAAATAATTTGGCACAAAAACGGTCCCCTTCAGATATTCAAGGTTCCATTTCGGCACATTTCTTGTTTCTGATGTGTTATATGAAATTCCTTTCCTCCAAGGCATGGACAAAAGTTGCTTTGCATGTAAGTGCATTGCCCAATGTCACGAGGTTATCGAGAAGGTGCACACAAAATGTAGTATTTCTTTGCAAATTTCCCTCATAAATCTAAATTGTGATATGCAATGGGAAAAGAAACATGTCAACAAAGGTGTAACAAGATATGGTTGCAATACAGCATATTTTGCTTGCAATAGGTACTCCCAAGTCTAGAATGTGACACCATGCCTAGTTCTAAACAACAGGGTGAAAGAATTCTCATGGTGGCAATATGCTAACAACACCAAATCTGATAATTCAAAGCTCAAGTAGGAACAACTTTCCGTAGGCAGATAAATGTAAGTCATGAAGTGAGCTGATACTAACACATGGTAATTTATCATACAATACCTTGGCCTTATCTTTTGCTTCCAACACTTCCTCGGTTGCCTTCATCTTGGAAACGGAGTCAAAATCACCTTTTCTAAGAATAAAACTACAGTAAGTGCAGAGAAAATAATGCGTTGTTTTAGAATATGCAATGCAAGAAGAATTGTGACTTGAATTAACAAATAATTAAGAAAGCTGAGAACAGAAGAAAAACCAATACAGACAAAACTTGGTCAAGATTTCCGTAGGGTAACCTATAACATAATGTTCTTCATGGAACAACTTGCAGATCCCAAACCACAGCTGATGCATTTTTTTTTTCTGCTTGCAGCTAAATGCAATTTGTATTCTAACTTCCATATTTAGTGGGTACATGCGATCCAGCAAACTCAATTTGATACGAAAGCTTGTAAAAGCTTAGTGAGACACCAGTCAACTATGTCCGAAAAGCCTTAACAAATCAAGAAATAAACTAGCTAAAAACACCCTTGCAATTATCAATATGCATACATATGGCTCTAATAAGTAAATATCAACCTTTAAAACCAACTATTCCTTCCGGTAGTTAAATTGTTCAGAAGAAACATTTTAAAATAAAAAAATAGGAAACCGTTAAAATATCCAACATCAAAAAACTCCCAAGGCCAATAAAACTCCCAAGGCCAATAAGATCATGCCATAAACAGAATTTTAAAACAGAAAATGATGGTAGAAATTGTAAAATATAACCAGCTTTCAATATTTTTCTTGAGGTTGGCCTCAAATTCCTTATTGATGAAAACTGCCTGAAAATTCCCAAATAATGGGTTAGCTTAAAAACTATATAGCTAAAAAATTGCACATTTAAACCAGCCAATTGCAAGTCAAGATGGTATTAAGCTGACACAAATTCAACCCTGAGGTACAACTCCATTTTAGATACAAAATAGGAACTGGGTTCTCAAATTAAGAGCCTGTCAGTGGCAGAAGTCACCCAAATTACATTTTAGCTAAAAGGTCAGATAACATTTTATCTAAAAGTATTTGATTGTGCAAGAGAAATGTCATTGTCACCTCCTAAAAGTGATGATTTTCTCCTTTCTCTCACTCTATTTTGTTGGGGAATGTCAGGGTATAAAGACTGTTGGATAATATCGTCTTTTTGAAAAAAACGATGTTAATGTAAATCATGAGCACTATCAGTTCGAAAAATTTTGATTTTAGGGTTAAATGAATTTTTTATCATGGTTGTGAATATAGAAAGTATAGAACCAACAACGGATTTCTGTTTAAATAAATATATCCGTGGCATTCGAGTGTGGTCATCAATAAATATAACAAAACCAGCGACTTCAGAGATATTGAAGATTTTAGAGGATCCCTGAATATCAAAATGAATTAATACAAAAGAACTAGAAAATCTAGAGTGACTTTAAGGAAAAATAATGACATTTAGCAAATTTGAAAGTTTCACAATAAAAGCCTTTGATATTAGTTTATGAAAAGCGAATGAAACATATACTAAAGATTTTTAAAAGAAAAATGTCCTAATCTATAATTATGGTTCCAACTGTTGTTTGTAGTATGACAATTGGCATCGGTCTTCAAGATAGTATAACTGTCAATTTTCTCTAGTTTGCCCAATAATCTTCTCCATAGTGAGATCCCAAAAAACAATAATCAATAAAAAAATAATTTTACAATTGTGATCTTTGATAAATTTGTGAATAAAAAAATTTGTTAATTGCAAGGTGTGTGACATAGGATATGTTACTGAGGGTTAAGCTAGGAGAAAGTTAGATCTCTCGGCTCTGTAAGACATCACAGAGGACTCTACAACCTTTATTTTCTTATTGTTTGGAGCTGGTTCGTGCGTTTGAAAAATATTGGCTAGGTTTGTCACATCGTTGTTGACCCCTAAATCTAGGATCCATGAAGGGGAAGAACTATTAGAACACTAAAAGCATAAAAATAAGAAATCATAACATCCTGAGCTTAAGAACAAGATCCTGATAATTTTTCAAGTGAATTGAGAAAATCCTTAATTTGTAAATTTCTTTTGAATTGAATCCTTTGGACTCTACTAAGCAGGCTTGTCCATTTTATTTATGCATTTACTTTCTCCATTGTTTTGGGATTTTTTTATGAAATTTCCAGCATGTCTTTGGCGTGCCCCTCTTTTTACGAGTAGTTGCACCAAAGATTTCCTTTGAAAGGATGATGTTGTCAGGTTATATGACAAAAAGTCCCTTAGTTTGGGATTCTTAAGTTGTCATGGTAGATATCTCGAGAGCTGAAATATTGATCATCATTGTCTTTCTTCCTTCTGCTGAAACGAGAGAGAATACTTCATTCAGAGACGGTAGATTTTCTTGCTTAAAACTTAAAATCAAACTTGGTCAAACTCATTGTTGAGTCATGCCAAAAACTCAAAGATCCTCTCTTACTCAATGAATTTTGTCAGGATCGTCGCATCCTCACACCAGAACATTTTGAGATCTTAATAGTAGTCCAACTCTAGCCAATAAACCTTCATGATGTTAAAGTATTCAATAAGAAAGATGTTATCTTGTTTGGTAGTGGCGAGCTTTGTCTTGATTTCAAAAGTAAGTGCAACATCTTTCACATTTAAGTATGTTTGTTTAATTGTATCCCAAACCTCTTTTATGATGGAGAGAAATATAAAAGTTCCACTGATTTGTGGTAGCATGGTTTTCCACAACCAAGTAATGATTATGAAATCAATTTCTTCCCAAAGTAAAAAAGCTTTGGGTCCTTTGGATCTTTCCCTTTCCCTGTAGACAGGTCTCTACAAGATGCTTGAAATACTTGGAGTTTTCTTTTGGTATGATTTTCACAACTAATAATGGTTGATTCCTTTGAAGGAAAGACAACATCCAGACATCGTGAAAAGAAGGAGAATTTGACAAGAGAAATAAAATTGAAATTGGAAACCCTAAGATTTGAGAATAAGAATAAATGTTGGAAGTAAAAAAAATGCAATATTAGAGAATAAAAAGAAAAAATGGAAGAAATACCTTAACCTCGCTTTGATACAATGTAGAAAATAAGTAATGGGAAAACCTCTCAAGAATTTCATTGTCAAAAAATTTAGAAAATACCTTAACCTTGCTTTGTACAAGAAAGAAGGTATAGATACAACCCACAGTGGCATACAAAATAAGAATAACTCAAAAAATGAGGGAAAAATAATTAGGGGTCGATGATCCTATAGGAAAGCACACGGATTATAATACGAGAGTCGTAGAGAGACAGATCTAATGGTACAATGCCTCGATCTGTGTGACATAAATTCTTTGTTATCATTGGAGAAAATATTAAACATATTTTAAGACAGTTGAATCCAAAATTGCTATTATATGATATTCCAAATTCTTGCTTACAAGCACCTAATGCACCAGAGGGACAATTGTCACCCAAAACTTGAGCCAATAAAATTTTGTTTTGCATTATATGCATTACACCTTAGCTTTACTTGGTTGTCATTCATATGTTTTCTAGTGGGTTACTGTTCCATTTACAACTTTTACATCTATTTTCCTAGAAAAGATTATATTTCTAAATCTAATTTGAACAAATGATTTTTTGGACTAATTACTGTTCTTCATCAAGCCCAAGCCCAGAGATGGATGTTTAATTATTTTATTTTAGTTGAAAAAATGTGGTTCATTTAAATGGCTTTATTTGTCCATTTTTCATTTGCATGATTCAACTACAAATTTGCATCATCAACGCTCATGAATTTGGGGCAATCACTTCATAGAAGTTGTACTAACACGAAATCAATCAATAGATTTTCTTATAACGCCGTCTGTGCTTACCAATTTACAATGCCCTAGAAAAAAAAAATTGCAGCGACAAAGAGCAGTTAATGATTTTCAATATTTGTTAAGATTAAGTGACAATTGGACCAAAGAAAGTTTTAAAATATTGATCTAACGTATAGAAGAATGGAATTGAGATGCCATAACATGTAGATTTAGCTGGTTAAAATGAAAAAGCGTTTTAAAAGCGCAATTCAATCTAGAATTAGCGAAGCTATTTTATATGGAAAGAAATCTTGCAAAATAAAGAATCCGCTAATGTATAAATTAAGTGGAGCTGAAATGAGATTTTAAGAAAAACGTGTGACAAAATTAGAAATGATAGATTAAAAATAATTATATGAGAAGGATTGAGAAAGTAAAACTTAATGAAAATAATATTAAGAAATAGATTTAGGTCGGCTGGGCATTATAAAACAAAAGGTATAAGAAAAATAAATAAGGCAGTTAAACTAGCTTAATGTGGAAAGATTAAGAAGGAAATATATATATATATAAGATAGCATGAATAAACTTATGAAAAAAAAATTACACAATAGAATTGATAACTCGGCAGTTTTTATAGGAACAAAAAAACAATGATGATACAAAAAGCCATCCCTAAGTATTTGAGATAAGACTTATGATGAAGAGGATATTATAGATCATTCAGGGTAACTTTCTAACAGATTTAAATTATTAAAAAAATTAGAACATGTTTGGAGTTGAGAACATATTAGAAAAATTGAAAACAAGAATTTGGTAATGCTTGCAACCAGTTCATTAAGTAGCGTGATCCCAAATGAGACAATGAATAGTCAAGATAAAGCCCTTACCTCAAAAGAATTTAAGATGAAAAAATAGTTGGATAATATTCAAGTGAGCCCAACTCCAAATGTTTTTCAGTTACTAGAATAAAAAAAAAGGCTTCACATTTTCTTCACTGAAATAATTTTTTAAAATATCAATTTACATTTTTAGCATCCCTCCAAGCATCCATATGGAAAAGGTGAGGAAATAAATGCTTCAACAAAAGATTTTCATCAACTCTGGTGAGGTTCGAACACGTTCTAAATTATTAAAAAAATAATATTAAGAAGAACGCTTTCATTCATTGTTTCTACAGATAGAACTCTTTAGCTTTAACCAAATTGTCATAAGTTGATGAAACGATACAACAACAACAGCAACAACAACAAAGCCTTAATCCCACTACAAAGTTGATGAAACAATACTTGGACAAAAATCGGTAGAATTGAAAATACGGTGCAATACTTCTTTGGTCTCTTGC